AACTAGAAGGATGTGCAACTATGACATACAACTATCTACTGGGGCTTTGGGGGAAAAAAATAAATAAATAAAATTATAAATTAAAAAAAAATTATAAAAAAAAAAGAAATGCTCAGAGAACTTCAAGGGGAGGGAGAGTTCTCCTGTTATTGACACCAAGGAAAATTCAAAACTTTTTTTTGTTTTTACCCTTACAGTGTTGAGTTAGAAAATACAACCCAGTCTTTCCCTCCTCTAAATATATATTTCTTATTGTAAACCACAATATCACAAGTATGTAAGTCAAATAAACACATTATTATTATACTTCCTATATTATACTTGCTGTTAGTCATTTCTGTTTTCCCAGCCCGTACATATGCAATTGGTTTTTTGGACCCAAATATTATTGAGTTTTGCATTTTTCCTGGTTAAAATGTACTTGACTGGGCTCAGTGTCAAAGTCAGAAGTTGGTGGTTTGTAGGATCTGTGATTTTCACTTTTGGAGTACACACACACACACACACATGCACACACTTATAGTCTCTTGTACCTCTCCTCTTTTTCCTCAGTTCCTTAAAGATCGTCAATAGGTTAATGATCCGTTTGCTTTCATTTCCAACTGTTCGAGGTGTGTTCTTTTATACTTTAAAAGTGAGTCTCCTAAAAATATGTCTCTCTCTCTCTCTTTTTTTTTGCTGAGGAAGATTGGCCCCAAGCTAACATCTGTTGCCAATCTTCCTCTTTTTACTTGAGGAAGATTCGCCCTGAGCTAACATCTGTGCCAGGCTTCCTCTACTTTGTCTGTGGGTCACCACCACAGCATGGCTACCAGCAAGTGGTGTAGGTCCACACCCAGGAACTGAACCCGGGCCACCAAAGCACAGTACACCCAACTTAACCACTAGGCCACAGGGCCAGCCCTGGAACATGTCTCTTTTTTGCCTGAACATTTTAAAGCCTGTATTTCTATAATATAGAGAACATGTTCACTTTCTAAAAAATCTAAGGCTATTTCTTGTTTCTTTTCAAGGTGATCATGAATGCTAAGATGATAATGAATATGTTTTCATTTTAGGTCCTTTTTCATGAAGACGGTAGTGTAAAAGGAATTGCCACTAATGATGTAGGGATACAAAAAGATGGAGCACCAAAGGTAAATGTTTTAATAGTTATGTGCTGAAGAGACTGACAAATAAAAAAAGAATCAACTTAAACTCAGTAATTTAGTCTTGCTACAAACTGCACATTAATTAAGTGCATTTTAGAATATAATTATGAATGTGAATTTTTTCTCTTATTGTTTAAAACATTTAGAAGCATCTTTGTTTTTTTTTGTTTTTTTTGTTTTTTGTGAGGAAGATCAGCCCTGAGTTAACATCCATGCTAATCCTCCTCTTTTTGCTGAGGAAGACCGGCTCTGAGCTAACATCTATTGCCAATCCTCCTCCTTTTTTTTTTCCCCAAAGCCCCAGTAGATAGGTTGTATGTCGTAGTTGCACATACTTCTAGTTGCTGTATGTGGGACTCGGCCTCAGCATGGCCAGAGAAGCGGTGCGTTGGTGCGCACCTTGGGTCCGAACCCGGGCCGCCAGTAGTGGAGCGCGCGCACTTAACCGCTAAGCCACAAGGCCGGCCCTAGAAGCATCTTTGAACTAAACATGATTTAGGCAAGTAGATATACATGTTTAAGAATAATTTTTTTAAAAGATAAAAACAACATGACTCATACCAATATAAAACAAAGACCTGTCAAAGATTTTATTTCCCTCATTAATTAATGAGGGAATCAGTGAGATTTACAACCAGTTCCAGAAGAATTAAAAAAACATACACCTATGTAGGTCATCAGTCAACTGCTTTGCCACCTCTACAGTTTTAATTTCTATGGATAAGAATCAGTTGCATTACTATCAGTAATACTGATAGAGTCTTTGACCTGATTTTAATATCTTTTTGTAGATGTAAAACTGATTGCCTTCCTCTCATTCAGATGTAAGCCTGTATGGTTTTCAGGTTTTCACAACGTGCATTTTTACATTTGCAAAAGAAAAGCTCTTGGGATATGGATCTCACACTCTATAAGAGTGCTTTGAAAGGAGAAGGGAAAAATACCTTGATTTCCTATAATAACAAGAACAAAAGACAAATTAACATCTCAGTAAATTAATTTGTCTCTTCATGTTTATTTGTTTATTTTCTTAATTTCTGAACTAGATTATAAGCTTCATGACGGCAGAAATCATGGGTGTTACTCCAGTGCCTAGCACAGTGCCAGGTACACGTTAGGTCCTCAGTAAGTATTTGTTAACTCATAGTTCTCCTCTCAACCATTCTTGAGCAGAATTGGGAATCTAGTCCAGAGTCTCCTCTGGCAGATCTTCCTGCTTCTCACTACTTCCTGCTTAGAAAGCAAGTGGCAGTGGCTGGCCCCGTGGCGTAGCGGTTAAGTGTGCTCACTCCGCTGCTGGCAGCCCGGGGTTCGGATCCCGGGTGCGCACTGATGCACTGCTTGTCAGGCCATGCTGTGGTAGCGTCCCACATAAAGTGGAAGAAGGTGGGCACAGGTGTTAGTTAGCCCAGGGCCAGTCTTCCTCAGCATAAAGAGGAGGATTGGCATGGATGTTAGCTCGGGGCTGATCTTCCTCACCAAAAAAAATAAATAAATAAGAAAAAAAGAAAGCAAGTGGCAAAGCTCTTGAGTCTTACCTACTTGAATGTTCCTGCTAGTGATTTGATTGGTTACATCAGGTTCACGTGAGGTCTTGGGACTCAGCGTGACCTATAGTAGGGCCCAAGAAGCTGTTTAAAAGCCCCCAGGGATTCTGATGCATAGCCAGGTTTGCAAACAATTATTATGTCGTACTGCTTCTCATAATGATAAAAGAACATCGTTTTTCCTATATTCTTTCCTAAGTTACAGTTATTCTTTTCTATATTGTGATGATTTAATTATAAATTGTTTTATTCTTGTAAAATTTTTGTATTTAATATTACAAAAAAATTGAGGCACACAAATTCTACCATTCTGGTATTTCATCTTTTGTGTGTTCTCATGATATTTATTCAAATATATATTTTTTCTTCTGTGCTTTTTATTTGTAAAACTATTTTTTTTTAATTTTTATGTTATATATACTTTATTTGTGTGTGTGTGTGTGTGTGTGTGTGTGTGTGTGTGTGAGGAAGATCAGCCCTGAGCTAACATCCATGCCCACCTTCCTCCACTTTATGTGGGACGCCACCTGAGCATGGCTGGAGAAGCGGTGCATCGGTGCGCGCCCAGGATCCGAACCCGGGCCGCCAGCAGCGGAGCGTGCACACTTAACCGATACGCCACGGGGCCGGCCCCTATATTTTAAATATTGTATTTATGTAGATATAAAAGCATAGAAGAATACAGTGGAGTCTTAGTAATTCGATCTCCAAAATCTAAGCTTTTAAAATAATTATTTTAGTACCACAGGTTTGGACTGGGGAGAACCAAGGAGTCTGTTCACTCTGTTGTTCCATGCTCTATTTGACTCTCTGTACTTAGGCTTTCTTCCTGCCATTTCACTGAAACAGCATGAGTCACAAATACCTCCATCTTGCCAATCCAGTAATCAGTCCTCTGTCTTGTCTTACTTGACCCGGTAGGCAACACTGAAACAGTTGAATAACTTCTTCCTTCTTGAAACACTTTCTTGCCTTGGCTCTTCGCACCACCTTCTCTTGGTGTTACCCAACCAGAGTGATTTCACTTCCTCACAAGTTAAAATCACTCTCCACCAGAAGTAGTTGTCACATAAAGTAAAGTATATTTGCAGCAAATAGGAGACCACAGGGAATCATTTCCAAAGTCATGGCTCCCCCGGAGCACGGGACAACGGGAGCCTTTTATTTTGGGTGCGAAATGAACGTTCAAAAGAGAGAGGCAGGTATTTGCTCGTGCAGGCTCAGTTAGAAAACATGCTTACACATAGATTGCAGGTTATGGTAATAAGGCCTAAGCTCCTCCTGGAGTGGAGATCTTAGCATTAAAAATGAGGCAAAGGTCACTTCTTGGGCACCTTTCGGCCCATCTGTGCAGGCGTGGCTCTTGTGGTAGGGTTCGGATTGGTTCAGGGTGGTTGGTGATTGCATCTCTTAGTATAACAAAAAGAAAAAAAAACCATTTGGAGAAACGGTTAAATGCTCCCTAAACCTCCCTTGAGTTCCGCGGGGCAATTAGTCGGTGACATTGGTATTCCTTGTGTTTCACTGGCTCCTCCTCCTGTCTCCTTTGCTTGCTTTCCCTCTTCCTCCTGTCCTCTAAATATTGAGGTTCTAGGTCTTGGTGTTGAGTCCTCTATCTACATTTTCTCCATAGTGACCTCATCCAGTCACACGGCTTTAAACACCTCTTCCCTGAGTCCCAGAATCATATGTCCTACCACTCATTCAGTGGTTCTACTCTCACGTCTAAGAGGCATCTTATTGTTAAGAATTCTGATTTGAACATTGTTAAGTTTCAGAGGTTAAGTAACTTGCCCAAGGTCAGAAAGCTGTTAACTAGTGGGGCTGAGATTTAAATAGTATAGGCAGTGTGACTCCAGAGTCTGTCCCTTGAACCCTAAGGGGCATGTTGCCTCTAAGAGGAAACAGAAATGTACTAAGTAATATTTTAGCTCATTAAGATTGAATTGTTTTATAAGTGGTGCTGGGAAACCTGTATGTCCATCTGGAAACCATAGAGTTGAAACTTCATTTTTTTTAATTCTGATTATTTCTTAAAACAATAAAAAAATCAGAAAGAAATCTAGATTACACTTACAATCTAGGGGTAGGGTAAGCCATCCTACTGAGAAAGAAATTAAAAAGCTATAGGAGGCAGACCTTTTTTAACTATGTAAAAATTAAACACTTCTCTATACCAAAAGATACTGTAAACTCTGTGGATAAACAGTAGATTGGGGAAAAAAAGTTTGACTATTTATAATATCAAAGAGCACTTATTAATTGATGAGAAAAAAGATATATTAGGAAAATGGAGAGAATCTGAAGAATTGACAGTTCACAGAAGAGCAAATCCAAGTGACCGCTAATCATAAGGAAAGATTCTTAAATACCTTTTCTTCAGAGTCCACAGCTGAAATGTAATTTCTTTAAAGAGGCCTTTCCTGTCCACCCAATCCAGAATAGCTCCCTTCTATTATTCTCTCTCATAACAGCCTATGCTTGCATTCATAGCACTTAATCATAATTGGTAATTATATACTCATGTATTTATTCAATGTCTGCCTGAGGGAGAGGAACATGTTTTTTATTCATCTCTGTATTCCCAATGCCTAGCATAGAACCTGGCACACTGTTGGCATTCATTTAATATTTCTTGAATCAAAAAGAAGATGATGCTGAAAACAGTAGTCAGGGAAAGGCAAATTAAAATAGCAGTGAGTTACTGCTACATTTAGCAAAAATGTAAAAGGAACAGTTATATCTATCACTAGCTGAGCTATAGGGAAAAGAGTCTTCTTATATACTGCTGGTGGAAATATTAATTGCTT